AGCAAAAAGCCCTATCAGCACGACCGAATTACCGGGTTTTACTTTAAAAATTACAAACTCTACCGAAAGTTTTTGAATTCAGAACTTTGGCGAGGTGAAGATGGAAATATTTTTCCTGAAACACCATGTGCGACAGTTTGTGGCAGTTTGTAGGTTACATGAGCTCAGAATGATGTACTATAATTCGATAAAGCAGATGAATATTTAAATTGCGTTACACGCCAAAGTGCCACAAATTGTTTACCCGTAAATAAAATTAGGAATGGATAAATAAAAGCTCAAATTAATTCCCTCTTTGGACGGATGAGGCTTAACGAAAAAACAACGCGGTTTTGCGTCAGATTAACCGTTTAAGTCACTGGAAATAGATAGAAGAGACTAGGCAGGGACACCACACTTTTGCTAGCAGACTTACATTTGGATGACGTTTAATCCGGCAGCCTTGGCCTTGAGAAGCCTATCCATCCAGTAAATTTGGGGAATTCTAAAGTAATGCAGACTGCCCGACACATAGCGAAAAGGTGCCCCATCCTTCAGAAAGGTGCCATTCTTGGTATCAATACTGAATGAACGCGAAGTAAATAGCTTTTTTAATACAACGGGAAAAATGGCAACATACCCAAAGAAACGGACAACCAAACAGGACCAGCAACACGAGGATGAAGCCCACTAAGAGGAGCAATCTCACAAGGAGAATGACGCGAAGCCTTGGATCAGTTTGACGAATAAATTCCAGTTCTTTTTCCTTTGAAATTTTTGGAGAATACAGTAGTTCCTCCTTCATTTTGAGAAAAACTCTGCAGAATTGAAAACTCCGGACAACTGAACTGGTGACACCCGAGTATAGTCGTCCTGTACGGTATCACCTTGAGAGTCAAAATATTGAGAAAAAGTTATATGTGATAGTCGTTAATGTCTTATTAAGCAAAAGGTTCAAACGTGGCCAAAGGCTTGATCGAGCCTTGGGGAACCAAATCCTGTCCTTATAGCAATGTTCTGGTACCAAAGGATAGAATGGTTCCAGTCAGACTAAAGGATAGAGGGGAATAGGCCCTGTAGCCTTTGATACAAATGTGCCGTTATTGCGTATATGGGCGGTATTCCGTGCATTGACTGAGGGAGGTTACAAGCCATAATTGAAATCGATGGTCGAACACGCACACACACACAACCCCCCCTCTCACCTAAGATAAACCCTACGCGCACGCACGCCTCCTACGTTTTTCCCTGCCTCCCTCACCCCCTTCAAAAAAAAGGCGCCTGGATCGATATCTTGCTTTGGCAACTTTTGCCGGCATATGCCTAGGGCGAAAAACCTGTGTTCAGAT